TTGAGCCCAGGAGTTTGAGGTTGCTGTGAGCTAGGCTAACACCATAGCACTCTAGCCTGGGCAACACAATGAGACTCTGTCTCAAAAAAAAAAAAAAAAAAAGTCACTAACAGATATAGTCAGCAAAATTTATGTAAATTTTAGGGATCAGGTAGTAGCCTAGACACAGAGCCTTCTGTTCAGTCATGATTCTCTCTGGCTAGTTATACAGCTCCCTTTAGTCTTCTTTGGTTTATTCATTCAACAAATATTTACTGAACACCTCCTATACCTCCTATATACTAGGCACTAGGTATTCAGTGGTGAATGAAGCATCAAGAGTCCATTCTGGACTTTGCTTTTCATCTTGTACAGCTGAGCATTACCCACTCAGGAAAGGGGCCAGTGAAAGATTTGGGCCCTGTGGAGGGTGTAGGTGATGCAAATCTACAGTTGGTGATGAATCAGCTTCCTCCAGCAGATATCGTAATTCTGAAAACACTAATGATAGCATAAAAAAACATAGTTCACACATTTGGTCAATCATTTAACTGCAGGTAGTGCCCACCGGAAATGTGATTGTGACTAGCCAGGAACTCTAGAACTTCCTGCCCCTTTCAGAAGTGTGGGATAAATGGTGAGCCCCAATCAGATAGGATCTTGTTTAGTAAGCCTAGAAGATGAAACATGATCTATCTAGGAGCACCACAGGCAGTACTGGAGATGGTCTTGGGAATTAAGTATTAATAAATCATTTTTATCCCAAATTTAATTTAAGTTAAAAATCCCAGGCTAGCTGGAAAAAGGGCAATGTAACACAAGGTACAGAGAAAGAGATTTTGTCTACTTTCTGACTCATTCCTTCTGCTTTCTACATATTTCCTAGTTTTTCTTTCTCTCTTTCTCCAGGGTATAGGTAGAGTATAAAATATTTGTCCAGTTTCAGTCTGAAATGTTGGTTCTTGGCAGGCTCATGGCCAAAGAATGACTGCACACACCAAAGTAAGGCAAACATGAGGTGAAATTTATAGAGGGGGAGCAAGATAGGATGATAGGGCAAGAGCAAGATAAAGGTTTACAGAGCAAGATACATACTCCACAGATGACAACCGAACCCCTTGTCACAGCAGAGAAAAAGAGTTTGGTTATGGTCTGTGACTTGTTTTATGGTGCCCAGATTGGGAACCCCTGTGGGTCAGACATCACCATAGAACCATTTTGATTGGACAGTTGGGAGTTGCATGACCTGAATCTTAACTATGTATGCCAGTTACTCTAGGTCAATTTCCAGACTCTATGGTACCTATACTGCTTGGCCTGTGGGGCAGAGAATCTTCTGGATTCTTTTGCAGCTGGCATGCTGTTATAATTGTAGGATGTTCCTACATCCCCCAGGTATGTCAGTTGCTCAGGAGTGGATTAAGTGGTGGCAGGACCAAGATGGGGGCCTGGGGCCCACTCTTGTCCCTCTTCCCAGGTGGGGCAATTGCACCAAAGCAACAGCACCCACTTTTGTACCTAGGAGACCTGGAATCCCTTGCTATCTGCTTAACGATTTTTAACGTTTTTTAACAGAGTCTCACTCTGTTGCCCGGGCTAGAGTGCCATGGCATCAGCCTAGCTCATAGCAACCTCAAACTCCTGGGCTCCAACGATCCTTCTGCCTCAGCCTCCCGAGTAGCTGGGACTACAGGCGTGTGTCACCATGCCAGGCTATATTTTTAATGTATATTTTTAGTTGGCCAATTAATTTCTATTTATAGTAGAGACGGGGTCTTGCTCTGGCTCAGGCTGGTTTCAAACTCCTGACCTTGAGTGATCCACCCGCCTCGGCCTCCCAGAGTGCTTGGATTACAGGCGTGAGCACTGTGCCTGGCCTCTACTTAACATATTTACTTTATAGACTCCAAACTTATGTGTTACATGTCCAGCCATCTGAGAATGACAAATTTTTCTTTCAGTTCCATTTTCAATTTCTTGTCATAGGGAACCTGAACTGGCCCCACTCAGATTAAATGCCTACCCATGTGGTGGGTGGGCTAGGATCACACTGAACCAAATGGCCACCAGGGGTTCAGTCGCTTGGCTGGAACAGACATCTCTACTTAATACGTCCCAAACTCAACGACTCTTCTTTTCTACCTCCCCACAATACAAAACAAAACAAACAAACCAACAAAAATACCAACCCTGCTCCCTTCAGCCTCCTTCATTTTTTCCATTTATGTTATTCTTGCAGTTGCTCAAGCCAAAAATTTATTTATTTAGTTTTTTTATTTTTTTGAGACAGAGTCTGGCTTTGTTGCCGGGGCTAGAGTGCGTTGGCATCAGCCTAACTCACAGCAATCTCAAACTCCTGGGCTCAAGCAAGCCTGCTGCCTCAGCCTCCTGAGTAGCTGGGATTACAGGTATGTACCACCATGCCCGGCTAATTTTATATATATATTTTTTTAGTTGTCCAGATAATTTGTTTCTATTTTTAGTAGGAACAGGGTCTCCCTCTTGCTCAGGCTGGTCTTGAACTCCTGAGCTCGAGCAATCCTCCCGCCTCAGCCTCCCAGAGTGCTAGGATTATAGGCCTTGGCCACCACGCCTGGCCAAGAGACAGAGTCTTGTTTTGCTCCCTGGCTAGAGCACAGTGGCATCATCATAGCAAGACTCCATCTCTACAAAAACTAAAACAGCCCTACAATGTTCCTACACAGTCTTGCATGATGTAGAACTCACTCACTTTTCTGATTTCATCTTTGGACTCTCCCTTCTCCTAACCCCTTTGCTCCAGCTCTAGTGATCTCTTGGCTGCACATCAGCTCCATCACTTCCTTGCATGCAGCTTTCAATGACTTACTGTGGCATGTGGAATAAAAACAAGCTTAGAATCCTAGAAGCCCTGCATAGTCTACTTGCTGATTACCTCTCCAACCCTTCCTCTTACCTCTTCTCCCCTGTGTCACTTCACTCTAGCTACACAGGGGCAATTTATGGCACTCTCTAGAGCCCTTACCTAGGAGAGGCTGTGCTTGCATGTGTTCAATTCCTGTGCTCCCCTAAAAAAGCCCCACCCTCAGTGGTGGCATCTCATGCTTCCAATCACACTGGAAGGCCAGCCTGTCTAAACATAGGCTCAATCCATTGGAACATAGTGGTGCTTTCTGTCCTTGGAAGCTATTCCTGCTAAATGTACAACAGGACCAGAGAATGGCTGGCCAGCAGAGGGGTAACCCCACAATAACAAGGAATTTTCCCAGTGCTCTACATTCCACTAGAGATTACATATCAAGAGCCATAAAAAATTCGTGCACTCTGACCCACTTTGGTTATTCTACAACTGGAGTTTTATCTCAGAGAAGTAATTTAAAATAAGAAAAAAAAAAGAGCTGTATGTATGAAAATGTTTATAGTACCATAATTTGAACTGTCAAAAAAATACAAAACTGTTAAACTATAAATGTCCTGCATTTTAGAGAATAGAGAAATGCTTACGAATGATAAAATATCAAAATGTTAGAATATTTTACAGTCACTGAAGTGAAAAGTATAATTATCATGGAACACATGGAAAATCTTTTTCAAATAGGTTAGATCAAAAAAGTTAGAACTAAAAATTTAATCTACACTATAATTAAACTATGTAAAACTCTATATACATTTATAATGACAATAATTAAAATTAGCTGTACTTTGTTGACTGTCTCTCTTTTTTTTTTTGAGACAGCGTCTTACTCTTTTACCTGGGCTAGAGTGCTGTGGCATCAGCCTCTCATAGCAACCTCAAACTCCTGGGCTCAAGCAATCCTGCTGCCTCAGCCTCCAGAGTAGCTGGGACTACAGACATGCGCCACCATGCCCGGCTAATTTTTTCTATATATTTTTAGTTGTCCAAATAATTTCTTTCCATTTTTTTTTTTTTTTTTTTAGTAGAGAGGGAGTCTCGCTCTTGCTCAGACTGGTCTCGAACTCCTGAGCTCAAACAATCCTCCCGCCATGGCCTCCCAGAGGGCTAGGATTACAGGCGTGAGCCATGGCACCCGGCCATGACTGTCTCTTTCTTAGACACTATTGTAAGTACCTTATCTCTTATCGTCACAAAAATCATACAAAATAAAAATTACTGTCTCCATATAACAAAGGAGAGACTCGGAGAACCTAGCTCAATTCAGTTAGTAAGTGGGAGAACAGAATTTGAGTCCAGATTTATCTAACTTAAAATTTTATGCATTTTCCACTCTTTAAAGCTACCCTTCAAAACTTCGTAAAGAAAAGAACAAACAAAAAGATTCTTGTTGTCATATGAAGGCAGCATGATGACAGAGAATTTTTAATTTTATACTTTCATATATTCTTATTACATTTTGAAATTGATTTACTTTTTCTAAAAGGTACCTGATATGCATTCAGGGTCCTCACTCTAAGAATGATATCCACACACTCACTGCCTGAGGCATGCCAAGTTCAATGTATACTTTCCTCATCTTCATTTATATTTGAATCCACACACTAACCAGTGTCCAAGAGCAACAAGTTGAGTATTATTGTGGAAGTACAACTATTGTAGAAATACAACCCCACCAATGAAGACAAATGAGACTCAATTTTAAGTTCTATTCCTGCAAACTTACCACACAGACAGCCTTTTAGAATTTCTTTCTCCACATAAAGCCAGAACTGGGTTTCAATGAGATTATTGTTTAAAAGTAAGGGTACTGACAAGAAGGAGAAATTGAAATTTCTCTCCCCTGCTGAGTGCATAATGAATTGCAAAAACTCATGGACCCATCTGGTGAAGTCACTGGGATATAGCATGATGAAAAGGTTCTGAGGAAAGCTTGATATGTGTTCCCTGGAGTCTGGGAATGTCCATGAGCCTAGAAACTGGTGCCTCCTCCTTGCCTGGAGAACAGAGGGTAATAGGGGGCTGGCTGCCTACATATCCACCATCTTGCATTGCAGGTTTACATGTGTTTCCTGTTAGTTATTGGACAAGGAATGATGACTGGGCTCTTGGTGATCTTATAAGTACTCTATCCCAGAGGGAAGCCTGCTAGGATGAGAGAACCTTATAAATAGGGGACTGTGAGTCTCACCATCAGGGGCAGTGGCCAGGGTGGGGGGAAGGGCATTAGAAAAGCACAGCCAGACAGTATATTACGCATGTGAGGGTTCAAGCAGGAACTTTTCAAAGAACTCAGCCTGCATCCAGCATCAGAGACAATATTCGGACTGCACCACCAACTGGATCACAGTAGCACCAATTAGGTAAGCTATTAGTCATATATTTTCTAATTCTTTCCCCTCTACCCTGACCTTAAAGAAGCCAGAGGTTGCATGCAAAGGAAATAAGTGGATGTACTAGTTATCTATTGCTGTTATTGCTGTTGCAACTTACAATGACAATAAACATTTATTATGTCATACATTTTCTGTGGATAAGGAACTTGAGAGTGGTTAGCCTGGTGCTACTGTCTCAGGATCTCTTGTGACATTACAGTCTAGATGTTGGCTAGGGCTCCATCATTTCAAGGCTTGACAGGGGCTGGAGAATCTTCCTCTAAGGAGGCTCACTCATATCCTTGCTGAGTTGATGCTGGGTATTGGCAGGAGGCTTCAGTCCCTTACCACATGGATCTCTTCATAAGGCTGCCTGAGTATATTCAAGACATATTGGCTAGGCACAGTGGCTCATGCCTGTAATCCTAGCACTCTGGGAGGCCGAGGCAGGTGGATTGCTGGAGGTCAGGAGTGTGAAACCAGCCTGAGTAAGAGTGAGACTCCGTCTCTACTATAAATAGAAATAAATTAATTGACCAACTAATATATACAGAAAAAATTAGCCGGGCATGGTGGTGCATGCCTGTAGTCCCAGCTACTCGGAAGGCTGAGGCAGCAGGATAGCTTGAGCCCAGGAGTTTGAGGTTGCTGTGAGCTAGGCTGATGCCACAATGCTCACTCTAGCCTGGGCAACAAAGTGAGATACTGTCTCAAAAAAAAAAAAAAAAAGACATATTTTCTGGAATCCCAGAGCAAGTGATCCGAGAGAGCTAGTCTTAAGCCAAAATATCTTTTATAACTTAGCCTTGAAGTTATATTTCATCATTATCCTTATGTACATACATACCCACACCCTCTTGTGTAGGCAATATGCTTATATAGACCAACCCTATTTTGTGCGAGAGAGGATTACATGAGGGTATGAATACCAAGACCCTTCTGTTAGGTGATTATTGCCTGGATGGACAGTGCAAAGAGTCAGGACAAGAAGGTCCTATAAGAACAGTTGTAACTGGCTGTTAGGCTTAAAGAATTCACCCTCCCCAAACTTCCATCCACACCTCTTATACAACACCCTGCTCTCCCCCTCCTAGGGATGTATTAGGCATGTAGCCTTTGCCAGGCCCCTAGGAAGATAAAGGAATGGAATGCAAGAGGGGAACTTACTTTCCTTATCCCTCCTGGTTGTTTCAAAAGAATGTATTTCAATAGCTGTTCTGGCCCAGTTGCTCACTCCCCGCTGGTAAAACCTTCTATAAAACTCAAGGCTCTCCCCTTTTCTCTCGTGGATGCCTTTTTCAGTCTGTACCCATTTGTACCCACATGTTCAAAATGTAGCATTTTGCTACACATGAAGCTTCATGTATCTCCCTCTCGGCTCTGGACCTAATGCTGGTTCTATGAACAAATTTCAATGACGTCTATATGTTTTCTTAATGATCTTTTCTCTTAACTAACTACTTGAAGTTTTGAGTTGTTTCTCAGAAATGGTAGAATTTTTACAAGATAAAGGAGTTGAGATTCTGAGGCCCCTGAGCAAGATTCCTGATGCCAAGAAGCACCATCCCCCATGACCTGCTGCAATGCAGGTGATCTGCCCCAATGCACATGGCCCCTCCTTAAAAAGCCCACGATTTCTGTTGGTCTGGGAGACAGATTTGAGACTGTTTTTCCTGTTCTCAAAAGACAGACATCTTTTGCAGTAAAATTCCTTTCTTCCTTATCTCAACAATTGGATCTTTATGAAGCAAAGCAACTGCATTTAGGCTGAAACCTGCTTGTGGTTTCAATAACACTGAGAACCAGTTCATGAAAGAAAAGACCATCCAGAAACCGAGAGTTAGCAGCAAAGTAGGAAATTACAAAGTCATTTTGATTGTCACCAAAGAGGCTGGACAATTCCTTAGCCTCCAGCTTGTGTTAGACCTGCTGGTTATACTTCCATTGATCCCTTGGTCCTCTTTTCTCCAAGCCTCAGAGACACATACACTACAAGGAAACAGCCTTTTACATTATTAAACACTTAACATCTCTAACCAAAGAACAAAATGGGGATATTTGCCTTACATTTGCCCAGGAAATACATCAGGAAGTCTATTTGTTTCCACCTTAGAAGAAGATGAAGCTACAACAGCTTCTCACCTCTCCTCCTTTTGGGCCTGCTACCATCTTCCTACTTGGACTGCTGGGGACAGTGTGGCTATCCCCTCTTGCTCCCAGAGTCCCATCTCCACACAAAGACAGAGGGGTTTTTTTAGAATACAACCAGATTCTGTCTCTGCCCTCCTCAAAACTCTCCAATGGTTTTAATTCTCACTTAGTAAAATCTAAACTAAAGAAGACTATGCTCATGGAATAGAACTGAGAACCCAGATATAAAACCATCCTCATATAGCCTTCTAATCTTTGACAAAGCAGACAAAAACATACACTGGGGATATGAATCCTTATTCAATAAATGGTGCTGGGAAAACTAGATAGTCACATGTAGAAGAGTGAAACAGGATCCACACCTTTCACCTCTCACAAAAATAAACTCACGGTGGATAACAAACTTAAATCTAAGGCATGAAACTATAATAATTCTAGAAGAAAATGTTGGAAAAACTCTTTTTTTTTGAGACGGAGTCTCACTTTGTTGTCCAGGCTAGAGTGAGTGCCGTGGTGTCAGCCTAGCTCACAGCAACCTCAAACTCCTGGGCTCAAGCAATCCTCCTGCCTCAGCCTCCCGAGTAGCTGGGACTACAGGCATGTGGCACCATGCCCGGCTAATTTTTTCTATATATATCAGTTGGCCAATTAATTTTCTTTCTATTTATGGTAGAGATTGGGTCTCACTCTTGCTCAGGCTGGTTTCAAACTCCTGACCTCCAGCAATCCACCTGCCTTGGCCTCCCAGAGAGCTAGGATTACAGGCGTGAGCCACCGCACCCGGCCGGAAAAACTCTTATAGACATTGGCCTAGCAAAAGAATTTATGAAGAAAACCCCAAAGGCAATCACAGCAACAAAAATAAATAAATGGGACCTGATCAAATTAAAACGCTTCTGTACAATTAAGGAAACTATCATGAGAGCAAACAGACAACCTACAGAATGGGAGAAAATATTCGCATGTTTCATATCCGATAAAGGGCTGATAACTACAATCTATACAGAACTCAGGAAAATCAGCAAGAAAAAAAATCAACTCCATCAAAAAGTGGGCAAAGGACATGAACAGAAACTTCACAAAGGAAAATAGACTAATGGTTAACAAACATATGAAAAAATGCTCAACATCTCTAATCATCAGGGAAATGCAAATCAAAACCACAATGAGATATCACTTATCTCCTGTGAGAATGGCCTTTATTAAAAAGTCCCAAAACAGGGCTGGGCGCAGTGGCTCAGGCCTGTAATCCTAGCACTCTGGGAGGCCAAGGTGGGAGGATCGCTCATGGTTAGGAGTTCAAAACCAGCCTGAGCAAGAGTGAGACCCTGTCTCTACTATAAATAAAAAGAAATTAATTGGCCAACTAAAAATATTTAGAGAAAAAATTAGCTGGGCATGGTGGTGCATGCCTGTAGTCCCAGCTACTCGGGAGGTTGAGGCAGCAGGATCGCTTGAGCCCGGGAGTTTGAAGTTGCTGTGAGCTAGGCTGACACCAGGGCATTCTAACCCAGGCAACAGAGACTCTGTCTCAAAGAAAAAGAAAGAAAGAAAATATTTTGTCAACATGTGTCTTATATGATCGCAATGCCTCTCTAATGTTCAGAAAAATTGTCTAAAACTGGGAAATCAGGAGAGAGTTGCTTGCATGACCTTTTAATGTTCAACAAACCCACCAAAGGGCTGTCAGGCTTCTTAGAACATTACTCAGGTTGATTTGGAACCAGCTATTTTATAATTCCGTCCTGTTACAGGTTAACTTGTAGAAAAGGAGAAAGATAAGGAGTTCCCCTTTTCTGTTCATGCCCAAGGTCTGTCTCGCTCATATAAGGATAGTTATTATTACATTGGGCTCACACTGGTAATTAAGAATGATCTTTCTAACTCAAGATCCTTAACTCAATCACATCTGCAAAGTTTCTTTTGCAATATAAGGTGACACACACAGGTTCTGAGGATTAGTATGTGCATACTGTGGGTGTGAAAAAGTGCAATACCTTTTCCTTACCCATTTCAAGGTCCTATAGGTTCTTTCTCTTGACCACTGACCCTGGCTGTCCCCCAACGTATTGCCAGTTCCTTTTTCCTTCCTCCATCTATTCATTCCCCTGTAGCCTCTTGTCAACTCTCCACTCTGTAGGGTGCTGCTCATCTGTTCTCAAGATAAACACTCCCTTCACTTCTTTTCTTTCATAGTAGCCCTCACGAAGAGCCTAAACCTTTTTTTTTTAATTGAGATTTTTTTGGAATTTTGTCAAAGAATAGTCTTCCTTATTCTTCCTATCTCAGATAGTGTGTATCTCCATTTATTCAAGTAATTTTAATGTCACAGAGGAAAGACTGTGATATTTATTTTTTTCTTCTGGATTGTGTCTATTTTCTGATTGATCTACCGTTTCCATTTCTTGCTTTAGTGATTTATTTTTAACTTTTCTTTTATTTTTCAAATTTAAGTATTTTAAATTCATATAAAATTGTATTAGCGATCATATACAACATATTTTGAAAAATTATATACATTGTAAAATGGTTAAATTAATTAAAATATGCATTACCTCACATAGTTACCATTTTTGCTTTAGTGATTTTGATTAACTAGCTTCCCCCACTTTCTTTCCCCTGAGAGAATAGATGATGGTGTCAAATCATTTACTATTTATATGTAAGGTGGGATCTATATTCCAGTATTTAAAAAGAAACTGAAACACATATTTCCTTTCCTCAATGCATCTGTGTCTAAACTGCATCCTGACCACACACAGAACGCCCCTGTAACCCACCACGCTTGCTGGTTCCGGGCCGCCCACGTACCACCTCGGCACACACGCAGCCCGCCAGTCCCGAGAGGCCCGCCGCGCAGACTCACGGGAAAGGTGTCGCGGTGCGTGGGTTTTGCGCATGCCTCGTTCCGTCCACTACCCCTGAGCTTCTGCTTTTCCGTTTTCCTCAGGCCTCTTGTGGGAGGCGGTCCCAAGGTTGCTGGGTCTCCTTGCCCTTCTAGGGCCTGTGCAACAACACAAGGGAGCAGCAGGTAAGTCACACAAGGTTGGACAAGGGCTGAGGAGGCCCTGTGCGGCTGAGGGGAGGGCGGGTGGTCCCGGCCAGTGGGCAGGAGGCCCGCGAACCTCGCGGCGGGTTCCTGGGAGGGCTGAACGGCAGCGTCTCTGTCAGGACGTGAGGCGGATTCCGAAAGAGTCCAGCCACAGCGCTGAGCCCGCGGTGCTGTCAGTGCAACCTTGCTTGTGGGGCTGTGGGAGGAAGGCACTTGCGCATGCGTGAAGCGTGCCGAACCTCAGGAAGGGCAATTATTGAAGAAGAGCTCTAGAAGATGAACAAATTTATTTTCTCACAGTTCTGAAGGCTGGAAGTCTGAGGTTGAGGTGTTGTCGGCGGGGTTGGTTCCTTCTGAGGCCTCTTTTCTTGGCTTGCTGAAGGCCATCATTTCCCTGTGTCCTCATGTGGTCGTCCCTCTGTGTGTGAGCCTAAATCTTTAACAGGAAAAATAGAATTTCCTTCCTCAAGGGCAGGGAGGACTCAAGCTATTGGTATAACGCACCTAAGGAGAGAAAGAGATTTCCTTTCCATCTTGGAGAGCAGTTCTCTCTTCTTTCTTCCTCCACGTGGACTGAAAGATTCCAAAACAGAAAAGAAAAGCAGTTTTTTCATACTTAAAGAACAGACCAACAGAACAATTATAACTGTAATCTTCCCAAACAGGAGGAAGCATAATGAAAGACTTTTTTGGGTGACTTTTAAGTCATATTAAAGTGGTTATTTAAGGCCAGGCACAGTGGCTTACACCTGTAATCCCAGCACTTTGGGAGGCCAAGGCAAGAGGATAGCTTGAGGTTAGTAGTTTGAGACCAGTCTGGACTACATAGCAAAACCCCATCTGTACAGAAATAGAAAAATTAGCCAGGCATGGTGGCATGCACTTGTGATAAGGAAAACTGCATCTATTACTTGATGCATCAGCCACCTGAAAAACCTCACCCCTTATGGAACTCGCATCCGCATAATACTAACCTATTACCTGGCTCATTAGTCACCTGAGACCCCACCCCTCAAATCACCCCAACTTAATGAAAGTAGGAAAAAACTCAGGTAGACAAGGCTCAAAATTTGGTGGTGAGACCCCTCTGAGCCTGCCAGCAAATAAACTTTGATTCTCCAACTCTCTATGTGCCGCTCAGTTTGTCCTTGGGACCACCTGCCGTAACACTTGCTGTAACACTTGCTGTAACACTTATAGTTCCACCTACTTGGGAAAATGAGGCAGGAGAATCACTTGAGCCCGGAAGTTTGAGGTTGTAGTGAGCTATGATGAGGCCACTGCACTCTAGCCAGGGCAACTGAGCAAGACCCTATCAAACAAAAAAGGTCATTTAGAGGGAGGAAATTCTGTCAATGTGTTTCTGACAATTGAACAACATCAAATACTTACAGTTCCCAAATTGTCTCCAGTCCCACATGTCCAACAGCATATTGAGCATTTATGCTTTGTGAGGGTAAGATACTGACATGTTCTTTGAGGAGGGAACCAGCTGCCACCTGACCCCTCCTGTGTTTCCTTGAAAACATTATTGGCCTGATAAGAGGCTTCACGTTTGGATTTTGTAATGCAAAGCCATGGGCTTTGGCCTTTGGAACTATAAACACCTCCCTCAGAAATTAATTCAGAAATCTCTCAGGTATAAAGGAGATAATTACAAGGAGCATCCATTTATCTGTCAAGGAGATAAGAGACATTTTCATTATTTTTTTTCTCCTGCTTTACTGTGTAAATTTGTGTCAAATTCTGACCAGACTTTGTAGTCACTTTCATGTTGCCTCACATGTGTGTAACTCTGATAATGCTTACTCAGTAATCAGTTGTTTCCCTCATCTATATTGGTACAGAAGGGTCTTTGTTGGCAAGGCTGTTTTATTTCCCTCAAGTATCTCAAACTCAAGGCACTCAGACTAGAATTCACCAATTTTCTGCTTTCCCAGCCCAAAACTTACTCTTAGGCCTAAGAATAACAACATATCCACAGGGTTGGAGCTCAGAAAATAGTACACCAGTAGTGCAGGCCTCAGAAGCAAAAGGTTTTCTCTGACCTGCCCTGGTTCCCCTTCCATTCTCCTCTGAGGCTAGCTGCAGAAACTAGAATCTCTTCCTCTTCCCCATGGTGGGTCATAGAAACCAGAGCCCCTTTTCCTGAAAGCCAGCCGTCAAACCTAAAAATAGTGTGAAAACTGGCCATAACAAAATTATCTGACCTACCTTGTTTGACTGTGAATTATAATACCCCCATTCCAGAGAGGGTCCTGCCCTACACCCAGAAGGAAGGAATGATGCCCAGAGAGTCTAAGAAGAATGGACAGGCCTTGCTGGGTTTCCCCACCCAGTCTATTAGCATTAGATCATCCCCTTTTGATCAATCATATTTCTACATGGCTGGCCATACTTTGTTGAAACTGAGCACAAAAATGGACAATTTCCTCTTTATCTTTGGGTCTTTATTCTGAAGGCTTCTGTGTATATGTGTTAAATAAATTTGTATACCTTTTCTCTAGTTAATCGGTATCTTGTCAGTGAATTCTCTATGAACTTTCAGAGGCCCAAGGGAAATGTTTGTTTCCTGCAACACCCAGGAACCAGCGGTAAAAATTCACATCATCTATGACCCTATCCTCTTCTTTATTGATTCAGCAGAAATCTACTGAGCACATTGTCTGTATCAGGCACTGTCTGGCCCACTGGGAGACAGAGCCATGAACAAAACAAAGTCCTCCTAGAGCTTATATTCTGATGGGACAGAAAGACATGGAACAAATAATTGATGTACTGTCAAGTGGTGTATAAATGCTATGAAGTAAAATACAGCACATTGATGAGTGAAGAGGACAGGTACCAGGGAACAAAGGTCAGAAAAGGCTCCATAGTGACAGTTGATTAGATCTGAACACAGTGAAAATGTGAACTGGGCAAAGATTTGGAGCCAAAGACATCCAGGGGCTGAGATTTCAATAAAGTCATACTGGGAGCCATTGAAGGAGTTTTGGCATGAGAATAACACAATCTCATGTATGTTTTTGTTGGGGCTCAGAAACAGATACCCCAAAATATGGTGCCTTGTACATGCTGAACTGAAAAAAAGCCTGAAGGTCTCTCCCCACCTCTCAAAGTATAGGTCAGACCCACCAAGGAGAACAGTTGCTTCTCCACCTTATCTCATTATCTATTGCAGAAAAGAAGACCAAGAATGTAACCACACCTAAGCAGATTCTTTTTACAAGATAATGTCTATCTCTCAGGTGCATTCAAATTCCAAAGAGAGCTATTTACCGGATAATGCCCATTCCCCATCCACCCATTCTCCCTAGTAGTCATTTATTGCCACCCAACAGAGTTTCTTTTCCTTCTCCTCCCATAACCTGTTTTGCCGGGATCCAGGTCTCCCTTCTTTGCTGTCTTACAACCCTCTGAAGTTCAACTCATAAAAGGCAAATTAATAGGACAAAAGGCACATAATTTTATTTTAATGGGCATGGCATGGGAGAATCACAGGTCATAGGAGAATGATAATCCAACAAGTCAATGGTGTACACAAGGTTATACAACCTTCTTAGGAGAAAGGGAGATGGAGAAGTGTGGATAATCTTAGGGGAGTAGTTAACTGATTTTGGGGGGAATTCAGTGGGTTTGAAGAACATACAATGACCTGAGACAGAGTCTGCTGGGCCTGCAGAGCAGACATTAGTTTGTGACAGTCTGTCCAGGGCCAGGCGTGGTGGCTCATGCCTATAATCGTAGCACTCTGGAAGGCCGAGGGGGGGAGGATCGCTCAAGGTCAGGAGTTCGAGACCAGCCTGAGCAAGAGCAAGATCCCCGTCTCTACTTAAAATAGAAAAAAATTAGTCAGACAACTAAAAATATATATAGAAAAAATTAGCCGAGTATGGTGGTACATGCCTGTACTCCCAGCTACTTGGGAGGCTAAGGCAGAAGGATTGCTTGGGCCCAGGAGTTTGAGGTTGCTGTGAGCTAGGCTGACGCCACGGCACTCTAGCTTTGGCAACAGAGAGACTCTGTGCACCCCCCCCTCAAAAAAAAGCCCAGGTTTGTTGACTGACTTCAGTCTTTCTTCCTGTGATATGAATTCAGATAATGAAATCTCAGGGAAGGGACCAGGGGTCATTGATTTTTTTCTTTTTGGGTGCAGACTTTGGGCAGATGACAGAACTTGAGAGAACACCTTCATCCTGTGCTTTGGGAGAGACAGAAGATTGAGAGACAAGAGGGGAAGGAAAGTAAGAGAGACCTTGAGGCTTCTTCAGTTTAGCATGTTGAAGTGTTATATTTTGGGGTATCAGTTTCTGTGCCTAAAAATTGCATATCAAAATAATGATAATATATTATAACCCAAGGAATAAAGAATCTGAGTTCCTGCTGATAGGAATAAAGAAACAAATAAATGGGGAAAAAGGGAAAGGTTTTCTTTACATAAAAATGCCAACTAATAAATGTAGAACAACTGATTCAACCAGAAAATCAACATTTGGTAACTACCACAGAATAATTGTTTCATGGAATAACCATCAATGGATGTTAAATCAAAGGGGAGGGCTGGGCGTGGTGGCTCACGCCTGTAATCCTAGCACTCTGGGAGGCCGAGGTGGGCAGATAGCTCCAGGTCAAAGTTCAAAACCAACCTGACCATGAGCGAGACACCATCTGTACTATAAATAGAAAGAAATTAATTGGCCAACTAATATATATAGAAAAAATTAGCCAGGCATGGTGGCATATGCCTGTAGTCCCAGCTACTTGGGAGGCTGAGGCAGAAGGATTACTTGAGCCCAGGAGTTTGAGGTTGCTGTGAGCTAGGCTGACGCCACGGTGCTCACTGTAGCCTGGGCAGCAAAGTGAGACTCTGTCTCAAAATAAATAAATAAATAAAATAAAAATAAAAAATAAATAAATAAAAGAGGAGAAAATTTGATGACAAATAGAATATTTACATAGTCTCAAAGTATCTCTCTAGAAGATACAAAAGAAAAAATAGTAACTATATAGTGGAGAAACTTGGCAAACACCATCATAACCAAGTGATCAAGCTAAGTTCATTAGAAATGTTATAAATCAATATTTTACCACCTAAGCCATGAAACATCTCCAGTTTTGGTTGTGACTGTTAAAGGATGTTTTCCAGTGAACCATGCCTATGAATCCCTGCATTCCTGGTTTGTATACCATAAGCAATCCTAAACAACCAGGTTCATCCTATCAAAAGCATTCCATAGATAAGGACTCCCCTGCAAGCAAATACCATTAAGTAGGAGGCATGTCATTAGCACTTTTGCGAAGAGATTAGTCCCAGTCACCTGCCTTATTTCTGCCCCCCAACCCATTCTTCTTACATTAATAGGAGAGAAGAGACTGCAGACTCACTGCTTAACCCCTTCCTTCTCATAGATACTACAAATATATTTGCATATTTCTCTTCTATTAACTTTCCTCTGGTATCCTTTATTGAACAAAAATCATTGATCTGACTAGAAATTACATTCTTCAATAGTTTGTTTTCCAGCTTGTACTTTTGAACTGTGTTTGTGAAATCATTTCTCATGTGAGGGTGATGATATTTTCCTTTATGTTCTTCTGTCAACTTTAGTGATTCTAAACCTTCACTTTAGAGACAGAGTGGCTTTATGTAGCCCTCTATGAGGGTTATTTTCTTTTCTGAGTAGGTTTCAGCACTTTAGGTCTCAACTTTTAAGGCTCACATCCAGCTCCAAGAGCTCTGAGCTTCAGTCTTCATTTGCTGCTTAGAGTTTAAATTCACTTTGATTTTGGCATGTTGTCTTTTTTCCCTTAGCTTAGCTTGGCTATGTGTTTCCTCTCTTAAAAAGTTTTTTTTTTTAGTAAAAAAATGCTGTGAATTTTTCTCAATTGATATTTCTAAATTGTCAGTAAAATTCTCTTTTGCCCAGGTGTGATGGCTCATGCCTGTAATTCTAGCACTTTGGTAGACCAAGGTGGGAGGATTGCTTGAGGCTATGAGTTCGAGACCAGTCCAGGCAACATAGTGAGACCCTGTCTATACAAAAACTGAGAAGAATAATTGGCTGGGTGTGGTGGGCATGCCTGTAGCCCCAGTTTCTCAGGAGGCTGAGGCAGGAGGGTCACTTGAGTCCAGGAGTTTGAGCTTTTAGTGAGCAATGCGGGTGCCATTGCACTGTAGCCTGGCCAACAGAGCAAGAAAAATTCCCTTTTTATTATTGCCTTGTGGGTATCGTCTGAACTTGGATGTGCATAAGGATAGAGTCAGGTTACAATTTAAAGTTCAGATTCCACTTCTTAGTAGCTGTGTGACCTTGGACACATCATGTAACACTTGAGCATCTCAGTTTCCTTATCTCTTCTATCAGGATAATATGCACCTCATGACATTAAACAAAGAAGTTTATGTACACGACTTTCTTTTCTTTTCCTCTTGTGGAAAAACAGAAGAGTAAGGGGAAAAGATTCCAGTGAGGGGCTAAATATTTATTAACTAGCACTGTAATATTGGGTAAGTCCCTTGGCCTCAACCTACCTTAGTGTCACTGTATATGAAATAGTCTCTAAGATTTCTTCCAAATCAAATGCCCATGTTTCAAGGATTTGAGATTGTATTTAAGATAAAAACCTGGCAAGGCTCATGTGCAGGTTTTTTTTGCAAATATTTATTTATATAGCTTGAGCATTCCAGGTCCAGAAATCTGAAATCCAAAATGTTCCCAAATCTGAAACTTTTTGAGCACCAACATGATGCCACAAGTGGAAAATTCCACATCTTTTTCTCCGTTTTTGTTTTTTTTAAGGGAAAAAGGAGCAGGGGCATGGCGAAAAGTGTGAGAGAGGGAAGGGGAAGCACAAAAAATTCCACACTTGACCTCATGCAATGGGTCGCATTCAAAATGCCACACAGTTTATTCAGCATCCTTGAAAGGAAAAAAATACTCTCCCAGCCCCTTCAGCTTCCACATATCTTTCCTGAACATGCCCAGATTCCCACCAACCCTCAAGAGCATGTCCACAATGTGTAATAAAATGGCATGTGTGTAGAACAAGCACACTAACAGCAGGTTCCCCACATGCCCCACATGGGGCCACGACCTAAATGCATTTTGTCATTGAATTTTTTTTTTTTTTTGCTTATTTTCTGCTATGTGGTATAAAGATATTGTTGAAAATGTCAAAAAAGCCTGAAGATAGCCATATAGGTAACAGTGATAAAAGAAAGAGGAAACACTTATGTTTATCTCTAGCGCAGAAAGTGAAGCTGTGGGAAAAACTGGACAGTGGTGTAAGTGTGAAATGTCTCTCAGCAGAGTATGGTGTGGAATGACACCGTATAGAACCTGAAGAAACAGAAGAATGAAATATTGAAGTTCTATGCTGAAAGTGATGAGCAGAAGTCAATGAAAAATAGAGACATCCTACCTAAAGGTAAAAATGAAGATCTTGGTCATGCATTGAAAGAGTTGATCCATCAGCATCAGAGTGAACACATACCACTTAATGGTATGCTGATCACAAAACAAGCAAAGATCTATCACAAGGAACTGAAAATTGAAGGGAACTGTGGATATTCAACAGGCTGGTTACCGAAATGTAAAAAAAGACATGGCATTAAATTTTTAAAGATTCGTGATGATAAAGCATCTGCTGATCACTAATCAGCAGAGAAATTTATTGATGATTTTGTCAAGGTCATTGATGATGAAAATCTGATACCAGAACAAGTCTATAATACTGATGAGACTTCACTGTTTTGGCATTGTTAGCCCAAATAGACACTTACTACAGCTGGTGAGACAGCCCCTATAGGAATTAAGGATGCCAAGGACAGATTAACTGTGCTGGGATGTGCTAATGCAGCAGGCATGCATAAGTGTAAATTTGCTGTGATAGGCAAAAGTTTGTGTCCTTGCTGCTTTAAAGGAATACATTTTTTTACCAATCTATTATTATGCTAATAAAAAGGCATGGATCACCAGGGACATCTTTTCTGATTGGTTTCATGAACGTTTTGTCCCAGTGGCTTGTATTCAGTACAGAGAAGCTGGACTGAATGACAACAGCAAGATTTGTTATTTCCTGACAACTGTTCTGCTTATCCTCCAGCTGATATTCTTATCACAAATATTTATGCCATATACTTTCCCCAAATGTGATCTCATTAATTCAGCCATGTGATCAGGGTATCCTTGCATCTATGTCAAGAGTAAATATAATTATTGGAAGAATCAGTAAGTGGGGTAGAAAATAAAAATTAAAAGAAGTAAAAAAGACAAAAATAATATTTAAAAAATTAATAAAAAAAGAGTAAATATAATAACACTTTCTCAAATGGCATGCTAGCAGCTGTGAACAGAGGTGTGTGTGTGTGTGTGGAAAGTTTTCAAAAGAGTTTAGGGTGTAGGATGACATTGTTGCCAACATTTGGAACACAGTGACTAAAGACTCAGTTATGCATACCTGGAACAACTTCTGGCCTGTGACTATGTTCATTGAAAATGATGAGCAAGGTGGTGACTTTGAAAAATTCCATATGTTAAGTGAGAAAAGAAATGATGCATGACCTCCTTACATATGCAAAAAGTATATCTTCAGAGTCTGTTAGTAAGCTGGAAAAAAGAGGATATTGAAGTTTTTAACATCTATAATGAGGCTCCAGTTGTTTGTTCATGACTGATGGTGAAATAGCCAAAATAGTTCTGAATCAAGGTATTTGGGATAATAGTGTCAATGAAGATGACGTTGTTAACACTACAGAAAAAGTGCCTACAGTTGACATGGTGAACATATGTGATGAGCTTATTGAAGAACTAGAATAGTGGCATTCGTGACAGAACAAGAAATTATTATCAGTTTGTAAAATCGAAAAGAGACTTCTAAGACAAAAATGGTTGTTTACAGTACAGATGACTCTGGAGAAAACATTTAGAAAAGCTATCCAGCAGAATGCCCTCCATGCCTAGAACACCCACTTTCTGGTCCCTCCACTGATTCTGATGTTTATTCTCACCTAAAAAAATAAAGTACAGTGCGCAGTAATGTTACAGTCACAACACAACATCGTAGGCAGAGACCGAAAGCCTGCCTTTCTTTGTTCTTGCTGTTGTCTAAAAGCTGATGCAGGTGATGCTATATTCTGGCAATGCTCCTGGGCTGCGTAGTTACCCTGAATACATTATTTTTTCACTGTATTAATGGTATGTCATATTTTTTACTGTTAAGTACTTATGTGTAAATAAATGTAAGAAAATGATTATTTATCAGTAGCATATGAATTCAGAGTCAGGAATGATGGTGATGCCAAACAACCAGAGATTCTCTGCATGGGTGGCTGAGATGGTGGCACCTCTGCTTTTTTATGGTTCAATGTGTACAAATTTTGTTTCATGTACAAAATTATTGAAAATATTATATAAAATTACATTCAGGCTATATGTATAAGGTATATATAAACATAAATAATTTTGTGATTAGACTTGGGCTCCATGCCCAAAATACCTCATTATGTATATGAAAGCATTCTAAAATATGAAAAAATCTGAAATCTGCAATACTTCTGGTCCCAAAGATTTCAGATAAGGAATATGCAACCTGTATTTAAAAATGTATTAAATGAGAAAGGTGGTTTGATTTAGAAGTTAAATATCTCATGAGGTAGTAGAGTATATTTCTTAAGTTTTCTGCTTTATCCCCACACACAGGTGTTATCAATTGTAAGAGATATGTCAAGTAACTTGTTTTTAAAATTATGAATGGAAGGAAACAAGAGAAAAGAGAGGAAGATCAGAAATGCTGGAGAGATGTTGGGGAGGGCACTGCCTAAAATCTGCATTTACTTTATTTGGAAGTTTATTTAAACATTTATTCCTCAAAAAACAATGTTGAGACTAATTTAAATCCTCCTGTGTTAATTTGCTTAATTTGATGATCTTATGAAAGTTCTGGTTACTAGTAGAAACCAATTTTCTCTAGTAGCTCAAAATGACAAAGAACCAAGAGAGATAGAAGTAATGAGGGTTTTCTGTGTGTATATTTTTACTCTTTTACAAGCCATCCATCTTCAGTGAGATTTTTTTTCTTACAGGTAACCTAAATTGAGCTATAATAATTGGAAAATAACAGACTATTCTTAAATAACTGTGAATAGGAGGCTCAAAACTAGCTCCTGTTGGAAACAGTTGCAGAATGTTCAAGAAATATGCACATGCACACACACACAGGCTTTTTCCTCAACAATGGAGGAACAGCCAAACTGCATAGCGGCAGAAGGCCATCGATCACATTTATTACACTGCAGACAGCAGCAATTTTAAATGAGGCTGGGCTTCTTGAATGAATTCCAAATAATTCAAGTTATGATTCTTAAACTGTGTCAGACTAATTCAATATTACTTTTAGGCAAAAAAAAAAAAAGTTGAAACTATTAATCCTTTAATTTGGGTAAAGAAAACCTGGTTTTATTACTTTAATCATTAATAAAGGCATTATAAACAAACTTGGTGGTTTTTTAAAATAAAAGAATGAGAGAAATTATGCAAATCCTACTTAATGCATTATAATTGCATAAATAGTCAAGATTTTGGGGCAATTTTTTTTATATCAAAAAATAATTTAGTATATACTTTGGGTTTGGGAGACTACTTTTTTGTAGTTTCTTTATTTTTTCCCCCCAAATGGAAATGTTTTTAATTGTTTTTGCTGATTATAAAAGTAATTAATGGTCATGAAAAAGAAAAGAATACAGAACAAATATAAGGTATATAAAGTGAAACTCCCCCCAGATGCTACCTTCCAGGAATATGTAGTTTTAAAAAATGTCATTTTTTTTTAGATCTTTAATATAGAGCTTTTCATCTGTCTGTCTGCATTCATCCTTCCATGCCGTCTTTCCATATTGAAGCGTAGAGAGTTGGAGAGGGGCAGAAAGGAGTGGATTCTTGTTCATAGGGAGAGGAACACTCACACACTGTCCATCATCAGGGCACTATTCAGGCTGACCTGGGAGCCAAGGATGGAAGCCCTGTTGTGTGGAGTTGGCACAGCTAGGGGCTGGGAGTTTGGATCTCGATATTCTCATTTCATCTTGGTTTCTGTTTTTTTTCTTTCTTTGTTTTATTTTTTTCTGGTTTTTTTTTGAGAGAGTCTCTCTCTGTCGCCCTGAGCTAGAATGCAGCAGCATTGTTACAGCTCACTGCAACCTCCAACTCCTGGGCTCAAGCGATCCTTCTGCCTCAGCCTCCTGAGTAACTGGGACTATAGGCACGCACTGCGACACCTGGCTAATTTTTCTTTTCTTTTTCTGTTTTTTAGAGAGTATCTACTTTTTCTATTTTTGGGAGAGAGGGAATCTTGTTCTTGCTCAGGCTGGGCTGAAACTCCTCAAGTGATCTCTAGCCTCGGCCTCCCAGAGTGCTAGGATTACATGCGTAAGCCACTATGCCTGGGCTCGTTGTGGTTTCTAACTCAATGTGAGACCTTGGGCAAGTCATAGAATCTCATTTATAAAATGTATCCTCTGTGTGCTAGTACACCTTGAATTAGATTCTGCTTTATAAATGTTTTTTGAGAAAAGGATCATAAATTTTTGATGAGAAGTTATTTTTATTTATGAGAGCACCCGATTGGGTGCTCAATCAGACTACTACAGACCTATGCTTTAACCAACATTTGAGAAGGTGTCTTTTTTTAAACAGCTACGCAATGACTGCTTAGCTGGCTTCTTTTAAGCTAAGCTTAAAATACTTAATGTTTTTGAGGAATAGAAGAGAAACAGATGTCTGTTGACTCTGAGAAAATGCTTCAAAAATTGATTATGTTTTGTCATTGATAAAATGATCATAGCATTGGCCTTAGTAACACAGACAAGGGCTTGGGAGTGGTTGTCTATGCATGCTGAATTTCAAAGATGTGGTTCTTAGGAATACAGAGGGTTTTGTGCGGAGCTGAATGAACCTTCCATAGTCTGAAAGCCCATCTTTTGGAAACAAATATCCGGTTGCCATGGAGACACTCAAGGTGGATGAAGGATGGATTAATCAAAATACAGTAAATCCTTTTTACGAGCATCCTAAGAAATCTAGTGTGAAGAGAACCCTCTGGTCTGTCTATCCTTATTCTCCCCTCCATCACACAGGAAATACACCATGGATGTATAATGACATATATTTATTATACTGAGTTCTATGTACACACTAGTGAATGACACTCTCCCTTGCTTGAAAGGTACTGTCATACAAGCACACAAGGGCTCTCCAAACATTTTTTTAAAAGCAAGTTTTTAAATTTAAGAAAAAAAAATTTATCATCTACTCTCTGCAACAGAAAGAAAAAAAGAATAGTTAGAAACAGCCTCTAAAAATTGTGATTATTAACTGAATTACATTCTCTGGGGAAATAAAGGATATGAAATAATTTGTACTGAGAGAGTAGCTGCATTCAGCCTGAATCTAAATGCACAACTAATCTGATCTTTTAACTGTTCAGTTTAGTCAAAAACCAAGTCATCTCAGTCCCAGTATCAGTTAAATAAATAAATGAATACATCTAAATAAATTATTCAGTTGAATAAATTAAGTGAATAAATAAATTAAGTGGCTATTCCCTTCCTTCCCAACAAACTGACGTGCCAAATTAATCAAAATAGTTAATCCAGTTGTGGGAGGCATTTCCAGAAGCCTCCAGTAAATCATTCTTGGGCAGCCAATTCAATTTTAACTCCTAGTCTTGAATAGCCACTGACTCAGGCAGGGTGGATGAGCTAGCATACAGAATCAAGCTGATGTGAGTAGGTGTTGGACATCCTCCAAGAACAGACAAAGGTTCACAGTGAGAATGTCAGTTACTGTAGGCGAGGGGCCTACAGGAAATCCAGGGGGACCAAATAGAGGGTATAGGCAAGAGGTTTTCAGGGCTTACCCTCCGTATGTTCTCACAGACTGAAGGGAACACAGAGGATGCAAATCTCAAAGGAATTCAGCATAGAGTGAAACAGTGGTTCCCAACTGGGACTGATTTTTTTATGACCTGCGGTGAGAAAAGGTGTGTGCAGGGGTGGGGTGGGGGGTTGCTACTGACATCAAGTGGGCAGAAGCCAGAGATGCTGCTAAATATCCTGCAATGCATAGGACAGACTCCTGCAAGAAAGAAAAATGTCAGTAGTTTTGGAGGTTGAGAAACCCTGGAGTAGAAGAAATAAATAGTTAATGGATTCTAAGTAGCACCAGATTCTGCTAAACATCCTACAATGCACAGGACAGCCTCCTGCAAAAAAGAAAAATGTCAGTAGTGCCAAGGTTGAGAAATCCTAGAGTAGAAGAAATAAATACTTAATGATTTCTAAGTAGCGCCTTAGATTGAGTACCAGTTCATAAATTTACTAGCAGAACAAAAGGATTATAACCTCTGAGTTGAGTTACAAGAAATCAGCTTCAGGCCAGGCACAGTGGCTCATGCCTGTAATCCTAGCACTCTTGGAGGCCGAGGCGGGTGGATCACTCAAGGTCAGGAGTTCCAGACCAGCCTAAGCAAGAGCAAGACCCTGTCTCTATCAAAAATAGAAAAAAAAAAAAAAAAATTAGCCGGGCATGGTGGCACATGCCTGTAGTCCCAGCTGCTTGGGAGGCTGAGGCAGTAGGAACGCTTAAGCCCAGGAATTTGAGGTTGCTGTGAGCTAGGCTGAAGCCACCACACTCTAGCCCAGGCAAGAGAATGAAACTCTGTCTCAAAAAAAGAAAGAAAGAAAGAAAAAGAAATCAGCTTCAGATTTGGAATTTGAAGCCTGCATCTCAATTCGAGCCTTGCTATTTATTATGGCTGGTAAGATGTCAACCTCTTTGAGGCTCAGTCACTTTATTGATTACACAGTGATAGTAATACCTACATACCTTATAGTAAAGATTTTAGATTATGTGGAAGCATGGAATGCTGTGACAGTATTCATGAAATAATGATTGTAAACAAGTCTGTTATCTAATCTTCATGTTTTTTCTTGGGGCAGGGTGGGTCAGTTCTGACCAGTGGTGACAATAAAAAGACCAAAAAATTTTTTTGATTTGGAATTCATTCATTTTGGATCTTAATGTGTAAAATAGTCTCTTTTTGCTTAGGGGGTGCAGGTATGAGGATGTGACAATGAAGTATATTTCTTTTCACTAGGGGTTAAAAAGAGAAGAGAGAGAGAAAGTATTGGGGAGGGCCAAGAGGGAAACTGTAGCTAAGATAGTTTTGGTGAGCA